CCTGCCTCGTAAAACCGTCGATTATAACTTTTCCTCTCGACTTTGCAACTTGAGACATGTTTTCGCGTTCTTGACTTCGTAGAAGTCGGATCAGCCCGTGCGAGAATTATTTTGACATGCATAAATCCCAACAATTTATACACCGTGCGCTGGTATGATTAGATTTTAGTAAAAAGCCATTATTAGGTGTGTAGCAAAACCCCCCCCACAACGTTCTCAACTCGGACCACGGCTATTAATTTTCAGCAATTTTGGTTCAAAATGCTTTGGAGACCATGTAGGGGCATGTGCCAAGCAGTGCGGCTCAGGGTGTATTTGCTTTTGTGGCTGAGGTTTGTGTGTTGAATCGGGTGCGCCAAACTTGTTGTTCAGCCAGTGTTACAGCCATGCGAGCAACAGGATTACCACATAAGAACACAAAAATGAAAAAGTGGAATTAACTCCCAAGCCGCCTCAGATTTCCCACCGAGGTTTTTTGTGATGCGCTTGTTCAATGCGATTAGACCATACACCGTTATATATCTAAGCCTCTGCAGTTGTCCAAATCTGCCTCTAGTTTATTTCATCGTTGGCTCTTTCTTCCCTAGTCAGAATTTCAGCAGAAGCTATTTTATTAAGCAGTTGGATTATCCAAGGACGAGGGGAAAGGTTGCGTGGTCTAGCCGAAAAGAACTATCTGACACTGTTGCGACAGTCAAGAAGCTTTTGATTCGGATTCGCCGTGTCGTTGTTGCTGGCCAATTAGGCTCGCCCTCTGGACTTTATTGAGGGAGCGGCTACCTTCGGTTACCTTGGCCTTGTACCACATCCTCTGGTTGGCGACCCCAGGAATAATCCCCCCTTCTTCCTCTTAACAACAACAACAACAATTAAAGCTTTCGGTTCTCATTTAGATTTTGCAAGTTGGTGCCTAAAATGTACAATGAATCGCAAATCAGTTTCCAACCCGTCAAGTTTCGCGGTTTTTCTTTTTTCATTTCTCCCTTCTGGGATAGATTTCATTGATACAAAGAAGAGGACAATCTCACCATGCTACGCAATAAAAAAATATTTTTTAATATATAATAATAGAAATCAAGTGCAAAACCGAAAGAGTGTGAGCAAAGTATTATAACCCCCACACTTTGATGCATTGTGGATTATAGCATGGCACTGATAATTTTGCCCTTTAAAATAAAAACTCATCGGTTTTTGATATTTCAAAACTCATCGGTTTTTGATGTTTTGATTATTAGAAAATGATTGGGGCAACTTGGTATTTTTTTTTATTACATGATAAAATGAGCTTATTGTCTTTAAAGAAAAACTCGAATAATTGGTTTTTGGGGGCATTTTCAGATTCTTACATTTTAAAAGTATAATAAAATGTCTGAATTGTCGTTATGGTAATAATTCAAAGTATTGTTTTTAAGTATAATAAAATGTCTGAATTGTCGTTAAAAGTAAGATTTCTCTAATTGGACTTCAAGAAACTTTTTTTAAAATTTTCATCCAGACTTTTTAATTATTACCGGGTAAGAATAGAAAAAATTTAATATTTTAATAAATATAAAATATAAAATAAAATAAAAGTGACTAACTTGTGCGTATATTACGCAAGCCAACAAGTAAGCAACACCATTTTATTTAAATATAAAACCTGCTTTATATTATGGTAATAATTCAAAGTATTTTTTTAAGAAATATTTTGAAATAATATATTTTTATTTTTTAAAATTATTTTTAATATTTGTCTATCAAAATAATTTAAAAATATATAAAAACATTTAAATTTAAAAAAAAGATGCGAATTACATTGCATTCCAAATCATGCCATAATATATCACCTTCTAAATATTTTAAAAATATTCATTCCAGTGCACATCAAATTTTTAACTTCCTCGTTTTTTTATTTTAAAAAAGTGATTAGACCCATGTATGGGGTGGACCAAGTATAGGGAACAAAAAGATCAATCAAAGGAAAGAAAGGTAGTGCCTTTCTGGTTTTAAGCTTGGCCAGGTCCGATATTGAAGCATCATTTTTGCGAACACTCGAGCAAACAAAAAAGAGAGAAAAAAATTATTTAGGTGGGACCAAGTGGTAAAGATTTGGGACTAAGGGTTTGTTCTCTCTGTGGTTTCAGATTCGAATTCTTGTTTGCTCATATGATGGTCACTAGATGCTTACATGGTCGTTAACTTCAAGGCCCGTGGGATTAGTCGTGGTGCGCGCAAGCTGGCGCAGACACCCACACTAATCTAAAAAAAAAAAAGAGAAAGAAAAAATAAAAGACTAAAAACAAGACACCAAAACCTAAATTATCTTTCATGAGACTAGGAAAAAGCCACACCCAGTTCATGTTCCTGCGCATTCAATCGAGAGAAGAAAAACCAGCTTGGGATTTAACAGTTATGATATGGCCAACATTACTACAGCGTCTTCCCGGTATAAGAAAGAGTACGATGGACTTATGACTGAAAAGTCGTCAGTCGTCGTCTAAAAAGGCCTTATTATTATTATTGATACTTGTTTCCTTCCCTATCAAGATTACAGAAAATAACTGGGAAGAAATGTGGTCATTTGCCCTTTTGAAGAACACTACACAGAAACAATATGAAGTAACACCACACAACAACACAGGACCATTAGGGAGGACCGCTAATCTGTTGGAAGACAGGCTTGTCAATATCCTTTTCAAATTCAGGTATTCTTGGGCCAATGCTTTTTGTTGAAGCTATACTAGAAGAAGAGACAGAAAAGAGGGGGGGTGGGGGGGGGGTTCACTTTTCACAGAGAATGAGAAGCTATTTTGCAGGGGTTTCAGAAGGAAAGAAAGATGGAGTATTTTTAAGAAATAATTTTCAATGTTAATTAACATTGAATTTTTATAGAAAATTAGAGGCTCTGTCATCTAATATTTTTTAAAAATAGATTTCAAACACATAAATTAATTTAACAGAATTTAATTTACAAGGTATAGATAAACTATCTCTCTCAGAGAAAATAAAGTAACTTCTAACAAACGGGCCCTAAATAAGGCAACCAACCGTCAAGTCAACGTGTTCCGTTACATTTAATAGGAAGGTTATCTATTGGTGCGACGATGTCTGAAAATAACACTGCTTTTTGTCCGTTACTTATAATCGGTGTTGTTGTTATCTTCTTTGTCCCTCGTCTTATTATTGTTATTATTTTATATTATCTTAGCAACTCAAATTGAGTACCACTCAGTGTCTCCTAAAATCCAGTGCTACACCCTCCAATGACTGCTTCAATCTGTGATTACTGAATATATAATACAGGTGTTGTTCTTAAAGTGGGTGGTTTTGCAGAAATATGGAAGGAGATGATGATCGGATTGAAGAGAGTAGTGTGAGGTTGGTGGGTAGTAGTAACGATGGCATCGTTGATGGTGGTGGTGTTGGTGTTGGCGAGTCGAGGTGGGTGGATGGTAGTGAAGTTGACTCAGAGTCACCTCCTTGGTCTTTGCTTGACGAGAATGATAGCGGCCAAGGGTATGGATCTATGAGGAGGAGGCTGGTTAAGAAGCCCAAAAGAGTTGATTCTTTTGATGTTGAAGCCATGGAGATTGCTGGTCCCCACCCCCACCACTCCAAGGTACTCATAATTAAATTATCATCACCGTTTACTAATTACAATTTTTTTAATGGCTACCATACTTTTCCCTCGATGTATATTCGTGCTTGTGAAGTTGTAAATTGGGGGAAAATGCTATAAAATTGAGTTCCTCGTGAATTTTGTGAGTTGTGACCAATGATAAAGGTAGGGAATTGATAAACACCACCATTATTATAGTTCGTATAGTTTGCAGTTGTCCCATTTATTGCCTTTTCTTTTGGAGTAAGCTGAGCATGTGAAAGGGTTTTATCAGTGGCGATTGTGAGGAAGAGCATTCAATCTGGCATGGTTTACCCTACCCCAACCTATGGAATTCATGACCACTTATCACAGACTGCAAAAAATTTCTTGGTCTGATTCTTCGTAGTTAGTTTAGCAAACATTTGGCGAGGACTAAAATATTTCCAGCTTATTATACTAAAATACTTTGCGCAATTTTTAGGAATTCTATAAACAGCACATTTTCTGCAGTCGTGCTTAGAATCCATGGAAAGAGAGCACGGCCAAAAAGGAGTTGGAAGGTGAGGAGCTTATACTAGTCCCAAATATAACTTCTAGGCAGTCATAAAGATCCAACCCACTTTGACAAGCAGCCAAAAGTGGTTTGCTAGGATACAAAGAAAAATTTGCGAGTCCATGAGATCTTATTTTTTTTCTATTACTGAACCATTACTTTAATACATTAGGACCTTTCAGTTTGGCAAAATCTTGCTTTGGCCTTCCAGACACTTGGTGTGGTGTACGGTGACTTGGGTACAAGCCCTCTTTATGTCTTTACTGATGTTTTCAGTAAGGTGCCCATCAGGTCAGAAGTTGATGTCCTGGGAGCTTTATCCCTAGTTATTTACACAATTGCTCTCATTCCACTAGCAAAATATGTTTTTGTAGTGCTCAAAGCAAATGATAACGGGGAAGGTAAGAGATCTCTTTTCAAATTGATCAGTTTCTTCTTGCTTTATTGCTAGAAATCTCATGGACCATGTATTGATTAACACATCGATAATTCTGATTGCAGGAGGAACATTTGCTCTGTATTCACTGATTTGCAGATATGCGAAGGTCAATATGCTGCCAAATCGACAGCCAGCTGATGAAAATATTTCAAGTTTTAGGCTCAAATTACCAACTCCAGAACTGGAAAGGGCTTTAAACATAAAAGAAACTTTGGAGAAAAGATCATCATTGAAAACAGTGCTTTTGCTTTTGGTTCTGACAGGAACTTCTATGGTAATAGGAGATGGTATTCTAACCCCCGCAATGTCAGGTACATCAATATGTGTTGTGTCATTGTCAGGTAGCCAGCCACTAAGCAGTATATGCACTTAATCAAAGTGTTTGGGAAATTTCTAATTGCAGATGGTCTTAAAACTTGTGGATTTATATTTTCCATCCACCATTTAGAACTGGAGAATATACAATAGTGAAGGTGCTATCAATCAAAAGCTATGAGATTTCATAGGAAATCGGAAATTCCTGCAAAACATTTCGTGAATGCAAACAAAATCTGAAGTTACTAGCCTCTTAGAAACTAAGCTTTTGAATATCAAGGTGCTATCAATCAAAAGCTATGAGATTTCATAAGAAATTGGAAATTCCTGCAAAACATTTCGTGAATGCAAACAAAATCCGAAGTTACTAGCCTCTTAGAAACTAAGCTTCTGAATATCACTAAAGAAGAAGAAGAAGAAGAAAATAATGTCCTGACTGTGCATGCTACATAACTGTGGGCATTTAAGGATTTCTCGTCAAAGTCCAATATGATGAATTTATGCGAAGAACCAGGTAGAATTTCCTGTTGGATAAATCAAGAGTGCTGATTCATTGAAATCAAACTTATACAGTAAAAATGTTTTTGTTTGGCTTGCTTGTCCGTGTGATAGGTGGAGTGGTTGCAACTTCCAAACAGGTGGAAGCTATTGTTTAAGAGAGCTATTTTCATGAAAACATCATTTGCTGTTGATTTTATTTCAACGTTAATCTAGAATTGTGTGTTTAGTAATGCATTTCATGTGCATCTGCAAAAGTGCTTATGGACTGAAAAGGCATCAATTTGATGCTTTGTAGGTCCAAAAGCACTTTGGAAATACATTATCAAACCAGGGGGATGAGGCTTTTTGAACTTGTTTGTTGGTGTTCTATATCAACAATCATGGTGGAGTGTTTTATTGCCATTTCAATGTTATTTTTATTTTATTTTTTGAAATATAATCAATTCTGATTGCCTAGAGTGTTGCTAATGCACAATCATGGCATCTCTCATGCAGTGATGTCTGCTGTGAGTGGTCTGCAAGGTGAAATACCCGGCTTTGGTACAAGTAGGTATCTTTTTTCTTGTTTTCTATAACTTCTCTAGATGCATGTGTGGTCACTTGACTGTTTGAGGCCTGTTGTAAAGAACTGAAGAACTGAAATATTTATCATGGGTGACATATCCATATGCGATGTTATTAAAGTTTTTTATACCTTTTTTTTTTTCACCGTGCAATGTTGTTGCAGTCTGAGAGCTCCCCTAGCATGTGTGAAATCTAGGCTTATATTGTGGACTGCTTGTTTTGTTGGGCCAGCATGCACAAAAGGATAGCAAGTTTTATACAAATCTGATGATATTGGGGTGGATCCATGTTAGTAGGAAAGTTATTTTATTATGAATCCACTATATTGCTGGAATTTGCTATGTAGTTAACTCATTAGAATGCACTTTACTGTACATTTGTATTTTTTAACAAACAAAACAGAATAGAAACGATCCAATTCTGGGGAGACTTCCAATTATATATCTTTTCCCTGGCTATTGTAGATGCAACCAATAATGAATTTTGGAACCAAAATAGCTCCAATCTCACTGGTTTTGTCTATAGGTGCTGTGGTGGTTGTCTCAATCATAATCCTTTTGGGGCTTTTCAGCATACAGCGGTTTGGAACTGGGAAGGTGGGTTTCATGTTTGCTCCTGTACTTGCTCTGTGGTTCTTTTCTCTGGGTGCTATTGGGATTTACAATCTAGTGAAGCATGATATCAGAGTCCTCAAAGCACTCAATCCAGCCTACATCTATTTCTTCTTCAAGAAAAACAGTAGTGCTGCTTGGTCAGCTCTTGGTGGTTGCGTTCTGTGCATTACAGGTGCGTACTGTCTTAAACTGTGAGCACTGCTAGTGGGTTAGCTACATTCTTATCTTCCTCAGCTTCCCTGGTCTTATTGGATCTACTGGAGACATCTTTCGTCGGTAAGAGAAGATGTACTCATCCTTGCTCATTGTTTTTGAAGAATGCTACCCACACTAGCAGGTTAGGAATAGATTAACCCACATATAACTTTAGCTGGCAAGGCATCCACTGATTTTCTTCTGGTATAAAGATCACTCTACCTGAACCTCTGGTGTGCTAATGTTTCCATATGACTGATAAAATTGTTCTCGCATATCAATCATTCCTGTTGTGAAAAAGTCTCTTAAATTGTTCGTTTAGGGACACAGATTCCTATCAGTCATTGAATGAATAGACACACTGACAGGTACTAGTATCAAGTCTGTTCTTGGTACAGACATTTGGGTGATCCATTTCATTTCATTTTATTTTTAACTGTCCACATTGCTTCCTTTGACAGGAGAATGTTCTCCTGATCTGTTGCTTGTTTGCCTCTCTTATATCTCTTGTAGCACATTGTTTCTTTAATGTTAGATATTATGTAGAAGTTCAGTGGTAATGCAAAGGTATGCTGATAGAGTAAATTAGCTGTTTTTTTGGGCTGCTATATTGATTATTTCAAATGAGGTTTGGAGACAGCAACTATAAAGTACAAAGGCTGATTGATGCATCAGTCTTGCTTCAAAGCGAAAATGACAACCAACCTTTTCTATCCATCTTTGAGCTTGTCGTGTGGTATTGTAGAAAAGATACCTGTTTGATGCCACAACTTGTCTGTATGTCGTTTCAGGAGCTGAAGCGATGTTTGCTGACTTAGGGCATTTTTCAGTACAATCCATACAGGTTTGGTTCTGCTTCCCTGAATTTCTTCTCTTCCTTGAAGATTCACTTCATATATTTCGCCTAATTACTCTTTACTGCTTGCACAGATTGCCTTTACTTGTGTAGTGTTTCCCTGTCTTCTCTTGGCTTACATGGGCCAGGCTTCATATTTAATGAAATATCCTGATTCTGCAAGCAGAATATTCTATGATTCTGTTCCAGGTGACTTTTGCCACTAGAATGAATACTTACATTAGTTTATTCCCCTTCTAAATTGTCTCAAATCAAAATGTCTATATGCTGGATGCAAATTTTGACACGGTTCCTAAATCTCATGAATAACAGAGAGCCTGTTCTGGCCAGTCTTTGTCATTGCCACACTCGCTGCCATGATTGCCAGCCAAGCAATGATATCTGCTACGTTTTCATGTGTTAAACAAGCAATGGCTCTTGGATGCTTCCCAAGGCTGAAGATTGTTCACACCTCAAGGAAGCTGATGGGCCAGATTTATATCCCTATCATCAATTATTTTCTAATGATAATGTGCATCATTGTGGTTTCCATCTTTCAAAGGACCACGGATATTGCCAATGCATATGGTTAAGTATTTTCCTGCTTCTCCATCTTCAAAAAGTGTTCTTTTTTCCACATTCAAAATTTTCCTTGGAAATTTTCTGGAGTAGAAAACCCTGCTGGTGCCAAATGATTTCCAGTTGGAAATTTTTTGCTTTCCAATATAGCATGTTAAGTCGTTTTTTAATCTTCCCCTGTGAATCTAATGATTTCCTTGAAGAGAGGGACTGGGTTAATACTCGTTACTAATCCTACAATTCTGGGCTTTCTAATGGAACTAGTGCTGTTCTCGCAGGCATTGCTGAAGTTGGTGTGATGATTGTGAGCACCACGCTGGTCACACTTGTGATGCTACTAATTTGGCAGACCAACTTGTTTTTGGCTTTGTGTTTCCCGTTAGTGTTTGGATCTATTGAGCTCATTTACTTGTCTGCAGTTCTATCGAAAATCTTAGAGGGTGGCTGGCTTCCGCTTGCTTTTGCTACGTTCTTTCTATGTGTGATGTACACTTGGAATTATGGGAGCGTGTTGAAGTACCAGAGTGAGGTAAGAGAGAAGATTTCTATGGATTTTATGCTTGAGCTTGGCTCCACCCTTGGAACTGTAAGAGTTCCAGGGATTGGATTGCTGTACAATGAGCTTGTCCAAGGTGTTCCCTCAATTTTTGGGCAGTTCCTGCTGAGCCTTCCAGCAATCCACTCTACTATAGTATTTGTTTGTATCAAGTATGTCCCTGTTCCAGTAGTTCCTCAAGAGGAAAGGTTTCTTTTCCGAAGAGTTTGTCCAAAGGACTACCATATGTTCCGCTGTGTTGCCCGATACGGTTACAAAGATGTCAGAAAGGAAGGTCACCATGTGTTTGAGCAACTTTTGGTGGAAAGCCTTGAGAAGTTTCTGAGAAGAGAGGCTCAAGATCTTGCCATCGAGAGCAATTTGAACGAGTACTTCGATAATGTTTCCGAGAGATCAAGGGATTCTGGAGCTGCAGGTGGTGATGGGACAGATGAACTTAGGGTTCCTTTAATGCATGATCAAAGACTGGAAGACGCAGGAAGTTCTATTTCCGAAGAAACTTCCTCAGCATTTCCCTCTAGCGTTATGTCCCTGGATGAAGACCCAAGTCTGGAGTATGAGCTTTCAGCACTTCGAGAAGCAATGGATTCGGGATTTACTTATTTACTGGCTCACGGGGATGTGAGGGCAAAGAAAAACTCTCTTTTCTTCAAGAAACTGGTTATTAACTACTTTTACGCATTCTTGAGGAAAAATTGTAGAGCTGGTGCTGCTAATATGAGTGTACCCCACATGAATATCTTGCAAGTCGGGATGACATACATGGTCTAAATCGTTTTTACCATTCAAGACCGTGGTATTTTTTTATTTTTTTTTGTTGGTGCTAGCAACCCGTTGCAGTCTCTCCACTTGAAACTTTAAATTGAACTTGCGGAGACAAACAAGGAATAATAATAATAATAGCATTACAGTTGCATCTGGGTGTATTGCAGCGTTCATGTAGAATTCTTGATGAATTGCTTCCTGACATGCTTGCCTTCTTCTAATACGGTCATGGAGTCATCTCCATATACCTTTCAAGTTTCAACTCGGATCAACAATTGATTCTGTGGATCATTTCATGTGGTATGCCATGAAAGACTCTCGGGACATGTGATGTCTTCCTCATTCCCCTGGACTGGAAGCTTCTGTGTCAACAATGCTCTCTTTTATTCGGAAGTGTCTTGGGCCATTAAATGGTCTTGTGCATTTTTTCTTCCTGCAGATTAAGACTTACTAAATGAGCGCTGCTGAAGATGATGAAGAATGAGCTTTACTTATATATATAATTCATAATATTTTCTATAAATACTAGCCTCCAGATTTTATTCATTTTTACGGGATGTCGGTCGTCCAGGTCTAATGGACGTGTAGACAAATCGAAGTCCGAACTTTTAAGTAAACCACACGGTGGATTTTTCCTTTTCTTTTCCTCTTCTTTTTTTTTCAGTGGCATCCTCTCTTTAACATTTCTGGAGTGGAATCAAACAAGTGGCAGGAAAAATAGGGAGACCCCGAGGTCGATTTTTTCTTGTCTTTTCCTAAAAAGCAAAGGCATAAAGACACCACCAGTCTAACTTTG